TGGGGTCAAGAGGCTGACTCTGTAAACTGCTTAGAGAGGGCTGGAAAAGCACTGTGAAGTGATATATAAGTCTAAGTGCTATTGCTCTTCCTTTTCCCTTCCTTCCTTCCCACCTTCCTTCCCTCCCTCCTTCCTTCCTTCCTTCCATGGTATGGTGTACAGTGGTTAGAATGCAGTACTGCAGGCTACTTCTGCTGCCTGCCGGCTGCCTACAATTTGGCTGTTCAAATCCCACCAGGCTCAAGGTTGACCCATCCTTCGGAGATGGGTAAAATGAGGAGCCAGATTGTTGGGGGGCAAGACTCTGTAAACTGCTTAGAGTGGGCTGGAAAAAGCACTGTGAAGCGGTATATAAGTCTAAGTGCTACTGCTATACTTATAGTTGATTGGATGTTGCAATAGGAGCCCTGATGGCACAGTGGTTAGAATGTGCTATTGCAGGCTGATTCTACCCACTGGCAGCAGTTCGATCCTGACGAGGTCAAGGTTGACTCAGCGCTCCATCCTTCCGAGGTGGGTAAAATGAGAACCCAGATTGTTAGGAGGGCAGGTGCAACAGGCTGACTCTGTATACTCCTTAGAGAGGGCTGGAAAGCATGGGGAAGAGATATATAAGTCTTAAGTGCTGTTGCTATTGCTAGTCAAAAATTCTTTGGCACCTCTTATCGCTTCCATTTAACATATCCCGCAGGATGTTGCAGGGCAAAAGGCTCGCCTGCAATGTGACAGCAGCACCTTATCTGGGACACTCTGTTCCATTTTTTTCCCCTCCGCACTGGGGCCACGCAGGCATTAAAGCAAATTAACTTTTTGCAGAGGTGGGACTTTTTCTTCCCAGCACCCTTCATATCCTGCTCTTTTATTTTGGGGCAGCATTGTTCGGCTCTCCAATTAAGATTCTTGGAGCAGATGAAGGAGAGAGAGAGAGGGAGAGAGAGAGAGAGAGAGAGAGAGAGAATCCGAACATTACTGTCTAGCGAGGAAACAATGATAAAATATTTTTAATCCAATATTCAAATTGCAAGCTTAAGTGAGCAAGAAGGGAAGATGCCCGGATGCCTGTTTAGAAAAAACAATGACAGGTTTCTACTGGCATCTGGACACCCTCCTGTCTTCTTTGTAGATTTTGTCTTCCTTTTGCTGGTTAATCCATCTCTGAGCATGTCCAAAACGCCATTTCCTCACCAGTGAGGAATTTCAGCCTAGCTAAAGAGAATATAATATAGAAAACAGAATAACAAGAGCTGGAAGGGACCTTGGAGGTCTTCTAATCCAACCCCCCCTCCCCCCAGCTCAAGCAGAAGGCCCTATAACCATGATGGCGAACCTACGGCATGCGTGTCACAGGTGGCATACGGAGCCCTCTCCATGGGCACGCAAGCCGTCACCCCAGCCAGCTCCGCTGTGCCTCTCGCCGGCCAGCTGATTTTCGGGTGTCTGCCGTTCACGCGGCTTTTAGAAACGGATCCTTTATGACAAGGAGTTCCCCAACCGATGTGCCTTTGCGGGTTGGCAGGAGGGGTAGAGGGGATGGATCCGCGTGCGTGGCAGACATCCATGTGCTCAGCGCCATTGGCACAAGCGGCAGGCATGTACATCCACCCTGCATGCAAATGGAGCACATGGGCTCACCCGCTAATGCCAGTGGGGGTGTACCAGCGGTGGGTTGCACATTTCATTACCTTCTGCTTACCTACTTTGCTCGCCCGTGCGCTTTCTGTGCATGCGCCTGACCCCAAAAACTTGCCTAGATAGGATGGTGAGTTCTAGTCCCNACAGGAAGTTCCTGTTCGTATTGTATTGTATAAATGTGGTTTATGTCTAAATTTTGTGTGCGTGTATTTTACATGTTTGTTAAAAAAAATCTTTAAAATAATTTTTGAAAAAAGGAACATCTTCACATAGGAACGGTTGCAGGAACTGGGTATGTCTAGTTGAATGAAAAGAAGGACTAGGGGAGACATGATAGCAGTCTTCCAATATCTCAGGGGTTGCCACAAATAAGAGGGAGTCAAGCTATTCCCCAAGGCACCTGAGGGCAGGATAAGAAGCAATGGGTGGAAACTAATCAAGGAGAGAAGCAACTTAGAACGAAGGAGAAATTTCCTGACAGTTAGAACAATTAATCAGTGGAACAGCTTGCCTCCAGGAGTTGTGAATGCCCCAACACTGGAAGTCTTTAAGAAGATGTTGGATAATCATTTGTCTGAAGTAATGTAGGGTTTCCTGCCTCAGCAGGGGGTTGGACTAGAAGACCTCCAAGCTCCCTTCCAACTCTGTTATTCTATTCTTTTTTTTGTTTTATTTTCAACCAGGCATATTTTGGAAAAATCTCAGTTTTGATCGGAGTCAGCTCCTCTCCCCTGACTACAGCTGTGTGACTTAATTGCGTTTAGCTGAAAGAATAATCCTGCAATACTTTGTTTCAACAATTCTTTGTTGTTGTTGTTGAGATGCACAAGCATTAACGCTTCCTCCTCCTTGCAGAACCGCAATCCTCTGGTCGCCGTCTACTACACCAACCGCGCCTTATGTTACCTAAAAATGCAACAACACGACAAAGCTTTGGCCGACTGCAAGCACGCCCTGGAATTGGACGGCCAGTCAGTCAAGGCCCATTTTTTCCTGGGACAATGTCAGCTGGAGATGGAGAATTACGACGAGGCCATTGCTAACCTTCAAAGAGGTGAGCGGGGCTGATCTCTGGGTATCCTATGTCTCAACGTTGGCAGCTTTAAGAGGTATGGACTTCAACTCGCAGAATTCCCCAGCCAGCGGTGGCTGGCTGGGAAATTCTGGGAGTTGAGGTCCATACCTCTTAAAGCTGCCAACGTTGAGAAATTGTCCTCTTAACTGTGTATTCATAAACTCAGCTGGGAATTTTATAATCCTGGCCTCTGAAGTGTAATAGCAATAGCAATGGCCCTTAGATTTATATATCACTTTACAGTGCTTTGCAGCCCACTCTAAGCAGTTTGCAGAGTCAGTCTCTTGCCCCCCAACAATCTGGGCCCTCATTTTACCCACCTCGGAAGGATGGAAGGCTGAGTCAACCTTGAGCCAGCCAGGATCGAACTCCTAGTAGTTGGCAGAGTTAGCCTGCAATATTGCATTCTAACCACTGCACTAGCAGGAAGGAGAATGAGAAGGGGAATTAAGAGAGGAAGGAAGGACTTCATTTATGTATTCATTTATTATCTCTTATTATTAAAAGATGAAATGAATTGAAAAAGTGTGGAATCAAAACACAGGACTCAAAGCAAGTAATCAATTCTCACTATAATATTTATTGTTAGCAGTGTGCACTGGAGGGGGTGTCCCGTCCTCCCCGCCCTCAAGAAAAAAAATAATGGTAGACACACCCCTAAAAGACAAAAGAATGCACTCATCTTCATAAATTTCAGAAAGGACCATAAAGTGGTGCCTGAATACATATTTATAAGTCGTAATAGACCTCAGATTACTTCCTGGCCTTCTATTATCCGCAGAGAACAATGACCTTAGCTAAAAAATATTTACATCTCGAGATTCAGAGGTTGGTATGAGAATTGCTGATAAAACTTGCCAGAGGCTGCTGTGAGCTACAAGGTTGCATTCCTTGTCTCCCAGTTTGTGAAACAGTCCCATTTATTTGGAAGCTGATTTTTTCCCTCCAAAAGTAACATAAAGATGAAGGAAACATTCCTTTGATGCAGGCGGAGATAGAAAACCAGCAATAACACAGTGATATAAGAGCCAATTAAAACATTGCAGTCAATTAAAGAGAGTCCCATCCCCTTTAATCACAGTATATTTTATATTTATGTTTTACATTCTTTCACCCTTTAATTATGTACAGTAAAATCAAGAGAGGGAAGTCTACCAAAATTAAGATCCGAAACAGCTTTCCTAAGTATGCCTTGGTAAGGCCATACTTGGAAAACTGCACCCAGTTTTGGTTCCACAATGTAAAAAAGATGTGGAGACTCTAGAAAGAGTGCAGAGAAGAGCAACAAAGAGGATTAGGGAACTGGAGGCTAAAGCATGAGGAACGGATGCAGAAACTGGGTATGTCTAGTTTAATGAAAAGAAGGACAGGGGAGACAAGATAGCAGTATTCCGATATCTCAGGGGCTGCCACAAAGAAGAGGGNCCTGACCGGCTCAAGGTTGACTCAGCCTTCTATCCTTCTGAAGTTGGTAAAATGAGGACCTAGATTGTTGGGGGGCAAGAGGCTGAGTCTATAAACCACTTAGAGAGGGCTGTAAAGCACCTTATTTTTTAGATTCCTATCCCATCTTTATTACTTTATAAGTAACTAGCCGATAACCCAGCATTCCCAAGTATTTATTTATATGGGTAAAATGTCCAGACCAAACGTAATTTCTAATGTTGGATTTTCCCCCTTACCAGAGGGAGCCCCCTTGTGGAATACCGTGAAGCTATTACCATGAAAGCTCTAATGCGCTGTACAGTAGAAGCCATTTTATGGCAGTACAGTAGAAGCCATTTTAAGGCACAACAGGCTGTATCTTAACAGAACACATATCCCAAGGGGTGTTAGGGGTGTCTTACCCCCACAGTAATTGTTTCCAGAGATTGTTGAGGGCAAGAGGCTGAGTCTATAAACCACACAGAGAGGGCTGTAAAGCACTTTGAAGTGGTATATAAGAGGTCCAACCTAAGCAGATGAAGCTAAGAAGCCAACACTGTAGCCCAGTGAAGGTGTTAAAACATCTCCTGAAGATACCAGCTACTGACCCGCAATCCCAAAACTGTAGGCTTCCGTGGTGCCTGGAATCCTGAAAGGTGGAGGGTTGTATTTCTTAAAGAGGGACCCCCACTCAGTGAAATTATTGTCTCCGAAGAAGTAGAGGGTTTCTGCAGTAAAGAAAAAAAGAAAGAGAACTTAGTAGTTTCCCCCAACAGATCCTCCACTTTTCTTGAGTGCTGGAGGTCGAAACCAGGGACTAAATTGGTTTTGGTCCCTTTGCAACTGCAACCTTCTTGTCTCAAGTATCTTCAAGGGAAAAAATAATCTGGGAGAGAAGATCATTTGCAAAGGGAAATAATTTATCTATAAAGAGCAGTGAAAATAACCGCGATCAAAACAAAGATAAGGGAAACCTGAATCCAGAGCAGAAATGTACTTTAAGAAAGTGTCTCAGATATAGTTTATTTTTTTAGATTTCTATCTCATCTTTATTACTTTATAAGTAACTAACCAATAACCCGGCATTGCCCAGGTATTTATTTATAGGGGGGAAATGTCCGGANTCACATGGCCGGCAAGCCACTCCCACAAAGCAGGCCACACCTACAGAAGAGGTTCTAAAAAAATTTGTAACCCACCACTGGTGTGTGCCCACCCCCCTACGCATGCACCAGCAATCCCTGCACAGGGGTGGGGGTGGAATTTTCACCCTTCCCAGGCTCTGTAGACTTTACTTCCCCCTTTCCTAGGCTTCAGGAAAGCTTCTGGACCTTGGATAGGGCGAAAACCAGGCCCAACGGGTCAACTGGAAGTTCGGAAAACAACTTCCGATTGACCCATTGTGTCTGTTTTTCACCCTCTCTAGGTTCCAGGGGCTTTCCTGAACCCTGGGAGGGTGAAAATGGCCTTCCCCGGCCCTCTGGAAAGCCGTAGATCAGCTGGCCAGCCCACGCATGGGCGCCGGAACTGAGGGCTGCCATGTTGACAAATATGGCTCCGTGTGCCACCTGTGGCACGCATGCCATAGGTTTTCCATCACGGGTCTAGCCATTGATAAAATACATCCCATATCCAAAAATATTCATTCTTCTTTATCCTTAATAGTGAGTGTTAATCTATCCATTTCTGCACATTCTGATATTTTCTTAATTACATTCTCATCGGACAGAATCTCATCGTTTGCTGCGCAAAAAGAGTTCTGGCTGCGATTAGTATATGCTGTGGTTATTGAGGCTACCTCTGGCCTGAAAATGACCTTTTCCCCTGGCTCCTGCATCCCTTCCTTCCCCTCACAACCACCTTTTTTCTGTTCCCCCCCTCCCAGCGGGTTGGCCACTTCGACCCCGTGACTCGAAGCCCGCTGACCCAGGACCAGCTGATCCCCAACTTGGCCATGAAAGAGGTGATCGATGCCTTCATATCTGAAAACGGCTGGGTGGAAGATTACTGAACTCCGAAGGACAGGGAATGCTCCTGGGACACCTCCAGGCTGCGACAGCAACCAAGAAGGACCCCTCCTCTCCAGACCGCGCCAGACTGCCCGATGGGCCACCCCCATGCCTTAGCATCTTCCCCCTTTCCCATTCTTCGCCCGGCCGGCTCAGCTGAGTTGGGGTCGGCTCTCCCTTTCCCTCCTCTGGCAAGCAGGAGGGCGGGATAGCTCCGTGGCTCCTATGGTCTTCATCCAGGCAACAAGGAGACCTCAGCTTTTGATCTGGACACAGGTGGAGTAGCTTCATGTTTGCAGTGGTCTTCTGAGCCGGATCTCCTTCCGGGTAACAAGGAGACCTCGGCCTCTGATCCAAGCAGGATGGAAAATGTTCCCAGCACAGAAGCTGAAGGAAGCTGAGTTCTTTTTCCCGGGCTTGGTAAGGGCCTCATAATCTCAAGCCCGTCTGACTTTGGTAGCACACCATAAAACCCCTTCCCGCTTCCACCCAGATCCCTTCGCCCCTTGCTCGGCACGCCTTCCTTCCACGCCGCCGTCAGCCCTGGCAAAAGGACCTGGCCCGCTCCGTGGAGCAAAGACTGGATCCAGCCCACCCACCCATCTTCCAGGAGACTCCCCACCCCCAACCTCTCCCAGCCATTGCTTCTTCTTCTTCTCCTGGTCTCTTAATCTGTACAAAGTTTTCTTTCTCCACCTCCGTTCTGCTGTCTGTTCAGAAGAGCCGAAGTTCTGCATTTGCTTCTCTGTAAATAAACGGCCACCGATTTGGGGGCAAATCAAGGAGGGGTGAAGAGAGAGGGTGATTATTTCTCGTTTTTTCCAAAAAAATGGACTGGAATTGGGAGTTTCTTGGGTGAAAATGGTCTGCCCAAGTTTGCGGATAATTGTATGGAGGAACGGAGAGAAAGAGAGAGAGAGAGCGGGGCCCCGTTCTGAGTTGTTTGTTTTACCTATTACAGTTACTCAAAAGTTTTATGTTTTCGGGTTGGTTTTGAATTAAACTCCCCCTTCTCCACTTCGATCCTCGCAACCCAGTTTTGCAGTTTTATTTGGACCCACTGATGGGGAGTTTTCCCTCTCAGGGAAGACAAATAGGAAAGCTTACCCGTATTTTTCGGAGTATAAGACACACTTTTCCCCCCCTAAAAGAGGGTGAAAATTTGGATGTGTTTTACACCCCAAATGTAGCCCCACCCATCCGCCGGCTCCCACCCTTTGGCTTCTGCCTCCCAGCAATTTGCCTCCTTGCAGCAAACAGTGAACAGCCTGTTTCAGTTTCAGCTTCAGCACAGCCTGATTAGCACAAGCAGCTGATTGTTGGTTGGATCGGCCTCCCAACCATCAGCTGTTTCAGGCTGCAGGGATTGCCATCGCCTATTGCTGCCTCCGGGCACCCTATTTCCAGCCTCCGCATCCCATTTTTGGCTTTTGCGTGCCCCATTTTCAGCCTCCACATCCCTGCCGCCCAAAATGGGTGGAAAACGGGACGCGCGGAGGCTGGAAATGGGACGCAGAGGACAAAAATGGGACGCACAGAGGCGGC